GCTGAAGGTCTCACACGAACCCAAGCTATGTGACACATGAAATATACTTGATGTGTGTATGTCATTCACAAGTACTTGCAGACACTCATTTGTCTAAACCATTTACCAAGCTGTGAAGTTAGTGGCCACTTCCATTTCTTAAATGAGAAAACTCAGAAAAAGTGACTTGTCTCAAAGTTTGGAAACTTACCAGGGTTTGGCACAGGTTTGTGCTGGCTTTATCTGAAATCCAGAGATGGAGGAGGATTTCAACATAAAATGGCCTCGATTTTTAGGTGGCCATGGCAGTGATAGAGTGAGTCTTGGAGCCAGAACTAAAACTCCACACCGGTCAGGTACTAGGGGAGGGACCTGGGCAAGTTAGTGCTCATTCTCATTTCCTTCATTTGTGAGATCTCAGAGGATTAACTGCCTGGCACGAGTAAATGAGGCAGTATTCACACTGCCTTGAACATGTAGATAAAAATGCAGCATCTCTTAGTTAAGTCTCATATTCTGCCCTATGCGATTTTTCCCAGCTTAAGTGTCTACCTTCAAACTGGACTAGAAACGGGCCAATCAGGGTTCTTCTCTGTCCTTCAAAGGTTTTGACTGGGGTTCAGAGTTGAAATTAAACCATTCGAAAGGAAATCTTCCCCGTCTGCAGGCTAGCTGATAGGTGTGGGGCAATCTGCCTTTTCTAGGCTGACTGGCCTCGGGAGTTTTTCCCGGTGGCCTGGCATCACGGAGATTTACCCGGCACGCTCGACGGAGCCTGGCCCTTGCTGGGAGGATTAAATTTCATCCAATGTTGAAACCACTTGAAATTCCTCTTGCTCATCCAAAGATACAGAAATAAAAGAAGCGACTCGTGGTCCTGCTGAGGCGAGATCTTTATTGTTAGCCGCTCTTGCATCTTTTACTTTCTATCTGCCAAAAATAGATGGATCCAAGTAACAGGAGAATCACATGCACATGGATGTTACTGCACACCCCGCACATTTCATCAAAAGATCAAATTGTATTTTTTACTGTGTTTATCTGTAGACTTCAGGGCTCTACAGAAGCTTCTGAGTGGAAAGACGACAGTTTTACCCCTTTCACTTTTTCAGTGTCCCCGACATCCGGAGGTTTGTTCTTGGGTGGGCTGAGGCAGGAGGCCACACCATTCTTCTTAAATGCCCTGGCCTAAACACTGCCTAGTAACTAACACTCGTGCACATACCATAAATCGACCGAAGTTGATACCCAAATTGGACTTATTTTTCCTCTTCACCAATCACTTTATCGCCCTGGTGGAAGCCCCTTTGCTTCCTGCATTTCTGTGTTACTCCTTAGTATTAAGAGAGTAGGTGTTCAGCCACTTTATGAAGAGCTGAGGATTCATAGTCATTCTAAACCACTTTGGAACTATGTAGGTCTCCCTGAAACATTTACTTGTCCTCTGCCTGTTTGACCAGTGGTCACAAGAATGAGTCATCCACTGGGCTTTAATCCACATGAGCCTGAAAAAACAGCAATACCAAGGCGATGACTTTATTAAAACCTTCACTTCCCTCAAACCTGATCATTTCAAAGCTAATTTTATTTGATGGTTGGCCTGTGAGTTTGTGCCAATTTGCAAGTGTTTTCCAAATCACCTTCTTAAACCAATGCAAAGTTTACCAGTTCTCATACATGTAATTCCTTACCGATTCAGAAAAACAGAATCTCTCTCCTAACAAAGGACTTTTCTAGAGGCTGTGGGATAGAAGGACTCCTCTTTACAAAATATGAGTTAGGGGTTAGGAACTAAACTCATGCTTAAAAAAAAAAAAAATTATATATATATATATATATATATATACACACACACACACACACAAATGCCTTTACATATATATATAATTACATTATACATTTTATATAAATCTTATAGTTGCATATTATATAACTATAGATAGTTTATATGTCTATAAAAATATGATTCCCTAGAGATCCTATCCATATATAGATCTAAGAAACAAGGGAACTAAAACCTAAAGGCCAAAAATCTCTTTTGGGTTCTGGACTCTTAAAAAAAACCATACTTCCACAGTGTTGCCATCATTCCTATCTGTATTTTGAGACACACCCCTGGAACACGGCCTGTTGTCAGTCCCTTCTTCAATGTTGCGTCCATTTCAGAGAAGCAAGATGCACAGTTGACACGTTCAGATCCACACTTTTGCGACTTTGTTATTAGAGCTGAGTGCTCATTTCTCCCTTATTCTGTCTACATTTTTCTAGGGATTTTCCCCATACTTCTTTCTTTTTAAAAAACAAAAATTTTTTTTTAACATTTATTTATTATTGAGAGAGAGAGAGAGAGAGAGAAGAGACAGAGCATGAGCAGGGAAGGGGCAGAGAGAGGGGAGACAGAGAATCCGAAGCCAGCTCCAGGCTCCGAGCTGTCAGCACAGAGCCCGACGCAAGGCTCGAACTCACAAACTGTGAGATCATGACCTGAGCCGAAGTCGATCGCTCAACCAACTGAGCCACCCAGGCGCCCCTCCCCATAATTCTTTTGAGGCAAGTTTTTTTTGAAGAAACTGATACAGAACTCTTATCACAATGTTGGGCGTACACTCAGGGGGACTTGGCTGCTTACTAATCAAGACTCACACGGCTTCCTATTTTTCTCCTATTCAGTAGTTAGTACTTGTACCTTTCCTGGACCCTCTGCCACTTCAAATGTGCCTCTTACAGATAAATATTTCTACACATGTAACTCAACAAAGCTTAAGTCATGCTTCCTTGATTTCCAAAACTTCTGCCAACGTCTGCTCTACCTCATCTGCTGAATATAAAAACAAAACACTTGGGAGCCACTTCTTTCAGATTCAGGTTTGTGTTCAGTTACTCCCCAGTAAGAAACTGTATTCCCATCTTTATCCATTAAACAGAAAGCGCCTAAAATACTTCATAGGTAAATCTACGAGCTTCACATTAATAAACAGGTACTTTATCCATTAGAAATACTGCTCTTAAGCAGAAGAAAAAGTTCAAATCAGAGAAAGCTTAAATGAAGTAAGCCTCTATGCTTTTACTGAGACAGTATCTACCTATACACCAAAATTACAAATGAAATAAAACCAAACATTAACCTCGAGTGGCAGCTGAACCCAAATGTTTATTACTGCCTCACTTTCTTCTAACCAGCCAACTCTTCCTCTTCTCATGATTTCTCTTTATTTGGTACCCAGCCACCCTCTGAGATACAACCAAACTCCTCCCTCCTCCAGAAAATGATTTCTGGCCCTCGTTGAGCTCCTCCCTAGAACTCCCTAACCCTAACCTCATGCCTCACAATTCCAACCAGAACCGATGTCTTCTACACATACAAGGCCATTTCCACAGATGTATATTGCAGAGCAGGGCCTTCCTTGCCCTGTATCGCCACAGTGCCTCTCCCAGAGTCCTCATAACACTGACCTCGTGGAGTTGTGGACACAAACCCTTGTGGGAAAAAGTTGAAAGCTAAGTCACCCCATCCCAATCTCATGCAACTTATGCGGTTAGCCCTCTCTGACTCATGGTTCACTTAAGAGCACAGTAAGTAAACTAAATTGATTTGGGTCCCCTATCCACGATGGTGACTTTAACTGGTAGCATAAAATAACGTCACACCTGAGAACTTCTGGGTTTACACTGCAGCACTGGTTCGTACGCCTGACCGCAAATGACCTTTTCCATTAACGCCCACAATTACTAGTTGGGGTCTTTCATACAGTGTTTCTCTCAAGAACATTGAACACAATGCCCTGCCCCTTTCTTGTGAAGCATGGAGGCTTGGCTGTATATTGCTTCAGTATCGCTGGCATTCCCACTTGGAACAGAGTGGGCCTCACCCTCTCCTCATGACTAAGTCCAGAGAATGTGTGGTAAAAGGAGTTTTGTGACATTTTAACCTGAGTAGTATTCCAACCATTGTGCATGAATGCTTGGCTTACAGTGCCTATGTCACCACATTGCTGATTACAATAAATGTGAGGTAACCTAGTACGAGTTGTGCCCAATCCAAAACTCAAAAACATTTGTGGGCACTCTAAAGCAGCCTGGAGCTTCCTAATTTCACAAGTCTGGTGGGCCTAATCTTTTCCCCAAACCGAATCTTAACATCTCCAGTGCTCTCTTCTTAGCTAGGCATGGGCAACAAATACTGCCCTTCATGCAAATTTTGTTCTAGTAACATATCAGGACACATAATGGGGATTGTTTTTCCAGTGCTAGGGATAGACTACATGGGTCAATTTTCCAACCCTCTGTGACACAGAGGTGCAGTGAAAGAAGTTCATAATTAGGCCTCTACAGTGAAGGGCACATAGGCTTTAGAGTGAGAAAGATCTGAGTTCAAACTGAAGCGTGCCATTTGCTAGGTGGGTAACCTTGAACAAGTTGTAATTTCTGTGACCCTGTTTTCTCATCTGCCAAGAGGGGAGAACACTACCTCCCTCAACAGAGTTGTGGAAATTACACACAGAGCCCCTGGCGTACTGCTACAATACAGTACATACTCCATAAACGTTAGTTACTATTTTTATTATCTGTGAGTTTGAATTGGCTAGTAGAGTCCATGATTTTTCATTCACTGTTTCAGTCTTCTCAGAAAAGTCATCTAGGACTAAAGTTAAACATACATTTATCCTGTGAGACTGTTAAATACTTGTAAGGTTAACTTAGCGGGTAGAAAAGGTTAGAGCACTAAAGTGGAAGGATGTTGCCCTTGTCCCCACTCCCTTATGGTCCAAAACACACACACACACACACACACACACACACACACACACACACACACACTCTCTCTCTCTCTCTCTCTCTCTCTCTCTCTCTCCACAATAAACCTTATGCCCATTTGTCCATGTCTCCAACCATACTTGATGAAAATGCCTGTGGTCTTAAAAGGTTAGAAAACTTTCAAAACTTAAGAATGGGAAAGTGAGGCCTCAGGGAACTGTGTATATTCCACTAGAAAAGGAAGGGGGAGAGAAGAGGGAAAACTGCTATATTTTCTTGTCATTAGTAATATAATGGCTCCCGTGTGCTGGAATCCCAGTCTGATGAGAAGAAATGACTCGAAGGTCACGAATGGATCTAACCGTCCACTGTGAAAGCTCTCGCAACACCTTCAGGCCCCACAGCTTCTTCTCAAAGAGACCACCATCTCCAACAACGGTAGGCATCCCATCAGCCTCATTGGGGGGGATCTTGTGTTCCAGGAGCATCATTAATTCCTCCAGTTGGTAAGCAAAGGCAGCAACTTGGAGTAGAAGGGTATGTATTGCTTGATGGAAGTCCCCTTCAGCTGGAGTAAAATGTACCTGTTGGTCTTCTAAAAGCCTGGCCAACATAACATGGAAGGCACGATAAGCTTGGAGGTTGTCTTGGAGTCGTTCTGCCTCAGTCAGCTCACTCCATCGATCAGTGCTTGCCACTGGCACACCATCCACAGAGTCCAGGTTTATGTTCTCGTTCAGGCCCTGATGTTTCATCTGGCCAAGGATACATAAAAACATCAGATCTTCTGTAATTATCCCAACATTTTTATTTCATCCCTAAATCTCATGTAAAATCTTTTTCATCTTCCTGGTCAAAAAGGATCCAGATTGTAAAGAAAATAACAAATCTACAAAAGGAACTCTTTATTTGAGATCCAATGATGGGACTTTAGGAAGACCTTATTGTCTCTGAAATTATACATACTGTTTTGACTACCTGTTCAGTTTTTGTGGGAGAATCTGCAGTTTTCATTGGGTTCTAAAGGTTGAAAACCACTGGTCTAGAATGCTTCCTTCCCACTTCAAACTGCCTCCTGGAAACTGAAGTATTTTAAATCATATTGGAGATTTAAGTAATTTAAACATACTTAAAAACACTGGGTACATCTATGAAGCCCTAGAATTAACCCACTGCAGAATTCTTTTAACCCCGTCTCTTCCATTGTCCACTCTCAATGGTGAGGACAATCCTTTAAGAGAATTCAGTGGGAATTCGTTTAAAAAAAAAAAAAATCAGACTCTTTGGTATCTCAAAGAGTCTGATTTCTAACTGGTGAGGCTGTACGAATCTATATTCAGAACTCTCACAGGGCCTTCAGTGTTCCTATAGGCCTTAGATGGACACCGATGGGGGATCTCCTTCTATCAGAAAACCAGTCTGGAACTCCCAGTGAATTTTCTAGGGGATCCTTTTGACAGTGTAGGTGACTATTCTATTTAGACACAGGGAGACTTGGTATAAATTATGAAAAAGTGGGTGGCTAGGAGAAATTCTTTGGATCTGTGCTGCTCTTCTCTCAATCCTATACACCTCACTCTTTACACAGTGCAAAAATTCAGAACGATGTATACGAAGAACCCATACTTAGAGGGCCCACAGCTAATCTATTCTGGTAGAATTCAGACTGTAGGCGATCAAATTAGGAACAGCCTCCAAGACATACAGCCAATCCTACCCAGAACCCCATGTATATTTTCTTATTCAAAGAGCATGTCTCCTAAATAGCCTAGAGAAGAAAATAAGGTCACAGGAGTTTCCTTAAGGGAAGGAACCATGAAGAACCATGTCAAATGACGGGCCCAATCTATGAATGACTATATGAGGAGGGCCTTCACGATTGGCAATGGGGGCTGGGACAGACATGGTGGTAACGGGATCCATCAGAGGAGATGAAGTGAAAACAGACAACAGCAAAATAGGCAACTTACATAAGATTCCATAAGAGCAGTCAGATCTGAACGAATCTTCCTTGCTAGCCAGATAGAGCGGCTACAGAGGTCCCGGCGGTGAGGGGTCAGCGATGAGTGCTCTGCGAAAGCCATCCCCTAACTCAAATGTCCCAGGAAACAAGTGAGCTGGGTTTGCTTCTGTCTACACTGGTCCAAATAAGAAATGTGACTCTCAGACTAAATCCACTGGGCATTCTGTACTAATGGGATTGTGCACCCCACCCCCACCCCCTGCCTGACTCAGAGGTGGCAGCAAATTCCTGGCTGTGGATTTTTGTGCCTGTGGAATCAAAGGCCCCTTTTTAATCAGCTTTTTTTCCTGCAGTGTCTGCCTCCATCTCTCTCCTCCACTCAGTGCCTAGCCTACTTGTTTTTATGTCATTGTTTTGCTTTTGCACTTAGCAACAAGGTCACTATCACACTAATCCTCATGACACCCCTGCCTAATGTGATCTGTATTATATACATATAATCATTTAATTTTATTATTACCCTCCTTTGTATTCCCCATGTCCTCCTCTTTCTTTCCTTTTTTTGGCCTGGTAAAGTGTTCAAGAATATTAAGTTATTACTATAAATACAACCGCCACTGATTAAGCAGCTACTCTGGACCAGACACTGTGCTAAAGGCTTTAAAGCCTTTATTCGACCTATGGAATAATTCTAGGAGATAAATATTAATTTCCCCATTTTACATACGAAATTGAGGCTTAAAGAAAGTAAATAATGTACACAAAACCCAGAAAGCAGGCACAAAATTTCAATATAGGTCTCTGATTTTACAGCTGTTTCTCTCATTGACTTTCCAATTTCATTCTTTAGGTTTTTCACATTTGTTAAGAAACAAAGTTTATGTGAAACAGGTCCCTTAAAAATACAGCATCTTTTCATTTGTATCACTTCATTATGTATCTAAAGTTAGTTTAATTTACACTAAAAAATCAGCAAAGTAAGCATCTCTAACCTCGATCATGGTGCCTTCCTCATAGCTACAGGATGAGGAAGGTACTGTTTAGGCCTGTTTTCTTCCAAAGGACAGGAAACACCCAACCCTGACCGGGTAACATTTCTAAGGCAGTCTCAAGTGACAACAGGCTTTTCTTTTTCTTCCTTAGCCCAGTCACACCACACTGCTTCTCAACAAGATAAGAGAATGAGCTGGGCTTTGAAATGAGGGCAAAAGAGTTTAACAGCATGTGCAGAGTTGTTCTTCTATTGCATTTAACTCCGTAGGTTAGAGGATGATACTTACTGACCCAAGAACTGCAAGTGTCATCCCTGAATCAATCAATTAGCTCCCACTGTTTCATAGCATAGACGTTGCCTCTACACTGAAACCCACACCTCAGGTGCAAACTTCCATAAGTAAACAATAAGCGAGAGTAAGAAGGGAGAAAAGTGAGAAGTGGGTGCTGTCACAGTAGGCCTTTTAAGAATGTAGGAGGATTCTAGTTCTTTAAGTTAGTACTTGCGTGGACACGGAGTTTTCTGAAAAAGCACCGATACTGAATGCCACCAAGGTTTTGTCACTTATCAGACTAACATAAACTTCACAGCATCCTTAACGTTCTCTCTACTAGACTAATAAGGCCACCTTTTCTACAAGTCTGCCAAAACATGGGAGGGATTTCCAAGTTTGCCAGATGATCACAGAATCCTATGGCAACTCAGCATTAGAAATCAAGAACTAAAATGAGTCAGATGCTAACTGTCTGATTCTCAATGAGAGCAAACAGCATCTGCCACATAAAACCTGCTCTGAGGGCACTTGTTTCTCACTGAACGGCATCAATGGTCTTCATCCTTTGGAGAACTGTAATCATTACAATCAAGGAAGACAAGTTGCTTCCAAGAAGACAACTTTTATTGTTCTTCTTTACATATTTATTTTGGATATGCCTTAACTAGATTAAGAGAAAACAAGGATTTGAAAAGCAGAGTATCCCTTTTATTATAATTTCTTTTTACATAACCTTTTCAACCTAGATTCAGGTAACTACCTGTCTCTCCCATCAAAGGAGAAGGGTCCTGCACATTACAACAGGCAAAAAAGGCTTTCAGGAAATAAAATATTTTAAATTGATCCATTACAATTTTTCAAATTTCTTGAGTACATTGGAAAGTGGGAAAAAGAAGGAGGGAAAAATGGTACTTCAAACAACCAGACCGTGATAACCTTAGCTGGCTTTAGTACACTTTTTAGATTTTTTTCCAACAGGTACAAAGGAGGTTCAAGTGCTCTATGTAGATGCTTTTCCATACCTGATTTCTTTTTTTTTTTTTAACTCCCAGTAATCCTGGCCAGTGTGTATCCAAACTCTCTGAAGCACAGTAAGTCTCAATTATGCAGAATAACCACAGGCAACCAGAGATTAGGGGGAAGCGCATCTCCCAGAAAGAATACTTGTATCTGAGTTACATTTTCAGAATTTAGAATCGCCAATTCAAGATGGAGAATATGCAATGGGAAGAGTTATTAAAAAGGTAACACAATTTGACTATGAGTAGGCAACGTGGAATTTTAAGGTTAGGAGAGCTCCTTGGAAGGACATAGAAGTAAACAGTGTGATAAGCAGACAGGGAAAGGGAAGAGGGCCTAGTAGAAGCCAGCTTACTTGCACCACTTTTTATTGTGCTAGCATCCCTTTCTCAAAAGGAAAAAAGATAAAGTCTCTGGAGAATATTTTAAAATTGATTGCATACTGATAATAATAACTTATTGAAGCAAACTGTTGGCAAATGGTACCTATAAAGAGGTCAAGAAACAAAAGGAGAAACAGAAAGTTCCTAATTATTAGAACTAACTTGTTGCTTTTGATGGGGAGGAGTTTTATATAGAGAAAAACATATTTTCCCTTTCTCTCATCAAGTTTTTTATGCAGTTTGCTTTTGTGTAGGTGGTTAAAATATCTGATGACTAACCACTGCAAGCACAACTTACAGGGACAAAGAAGATAAATGTGACGACGACAGAAGTTAAGTGTGGAGTCCAGATGCGAGCCAGTGAAACAATATAAAAAGGACTTATAAGGGAAGTGGAATGACTTTGTTGTAAACGCACCCAATCAATCTGATAATATTTTCAAATGTACTCAACATACCAGAGTCCATTCCAAATCCTTACTGTGGGCAGGAAAGCATATTCTACATCCCTTCTATCCTTATTCCATTTTCTACCCCCACACTGGAGGGACGGCAAATCTGCAACACTCTGAAAAGAAACAATGGTGCATTTAAGTCTGTTCACTGTAGGTGTCTGACTCCCTATCCCTGGCATCCCAACCACTGACACTAGTGGGTGTAAAGTAAGCCTCTTTCAGAGATGACATTTTGTTACCCCTCTTTTTGGAAAAAAATAAATCAAAGAGAAAATTAATAAACTTTGTCGTTTTAGTGTTTGTGAAAAACAAGCCGTTCCTTATTTTGCTCCCAGCAAAACTTCATTCTTTCCAATAGCCATCACACATTTCTGACAATGAATAGGACAAGCCTTTAACTCCGGCTTGTGAGGTACACAGAAGGATAGAAACTGCCCTTCTAATTCTCTAAAAATCCCCTAATAGGTTTTTAGTCTTCTGGGAGTTATAAACTTGTAAAAAAAAAAACACCACCTGCCTCTCCCATGGACAGGAATAAGCAGTCTACCCCATTCTATCTCAATGGAAGTGGTAATTCCCAGAATTTTAGGTGAAAGCCAAGGTGATTATTATACAGATTATTAACTTCGTCTATGGAAGTCTTTCCTTTTCTGAAGTGTTCTTAGAAGGAAAACAAAACAGAGCAATTTTCCTTGACTTAAAACTGTACGAGTCATAGACCTCTTCACTGATGGCAGTGTCCTTCACTAATTGGGAGCTGGAATGAACCAATGATAAAGCAAAAACCAAAACAAAGCAAGGGGCCACAGTTGGGCCAACAGGAAGGTGTGCAGGAAGAAATGAAGGGGACAAAAAAAGAAAATAAATGCATAAGAGAAAATGTTGTATCTGTAATTCAGACCCTGAACAATCCTTCTCATCCTCTCAAAATTCCTAAATTTCAATGCTCTAAAAACTCAAAGAGCACTAAATACTGAAAACCTAACAACCTTCCCTAAATAGGCTTCTGAAAAAGCATTAGGCTACTGTATGCTACTGTAGTGATTTTGTTAGTGCTGAGGACCAGCTTTCTTTAAAGGCCACTGGAGAGCTATGATTTAGAGGCTGGCTGTGCTTCTTCAACCCTATATCTTGCCTTCAAAAGTACTTCTTATGGAAAGGACCCCATGTCAGAACAATCTAATCTCTCCCAGCCCCACAAAATATAGCAACAAAGATCCAAAAAAAAAAAAAAAAAAAAAAAAAAAAAAAAAAAAGAAAAGAAAATCAGACTTTCCATTAATAAATAAGGAATCTCAGGTTCCACAACACAAAAACACACATGTTCAAAGTGCAAATTTCTGCCATTAGTCTGGGACTTTTCTCACTGATACAGAGCCCTGTCTTATGGTCAGAGAAACCATGTAGAGGGCAGCCCCCCTCCCTGATGGGAGCCTGCTTCCAAGCTAATGAGCACCACTGAGAACCAGATGGAGGTGTTGGGAGGGGACTGAAGTGCTGGGGTCACAGAGGAGGGAGGTGGTCCCCATGAATCCTTCCTTTCCTAAACCCAGCAGGGAATGGAGGAGAAGGGGGTGAGTGAGAGAGGTGGGCTGTTTTAACAGCTCACCCTGCCAGGGGGCCTAAAGTGCCAAGTCAAGCTGCCAGCCTCCAGAGATTAGAACTGTATGATGCTTTGGGGGTAAGTGTGCCGCGGTGGGTAGAAGCCAGAACCATAGGGCAGCAGTGAAGGAGAAGGGGCTTAGAGGACAGTAATATACTATCAAGAGTTAAAAGCTGATCCAGAGCACATCAGAGTTACAGGTTTAAGAAGGGATCTGCCGGTGAGCACGAAGTCTGCCTGGCTGGAACGGAGTAGGAGGATAACCCTCACTTTAAGAGCTTCTTCTTTTTTGCCTACCTTTTTGGTAAAGGCAACATCAATTTTATAAAGGGGACAATAGAGGGAGAAGAAGGTGGGTGTAGATGTGTGTGCTGTGATCCACAATGGAAAGAGCAGGCCCTTCAGTTATTTTACTAGATTTTAAATGCTTTAAATTTTTTTTTGTCCTTTTTATCTTTTAAATACAAAGTCTGAGCTGTCCCAGTGCCCAAAGTCTTCCCTTCCACTAAGGTCCAGTAGAGTCTGAATCTTCAATCAGAACCTCTGTGGTAGCACCGAGTATATCCGAGTTCATGACCAGCCCTTCAGTGCCCCCACTGCTGCCACTTCCCACAAAGATCTTCCCATCAGCCATCAGGCTCACCCGCTCTGTCCCACTACAGTATGACTTTGACATCCCTTCGGCTTCTAGCAGGAGGCACTCTCCAGAGGTGGAGTTTCCCAATGGCTCAGGAAGAAGAGGAAGACCCTGCCCATCTGCAGGTTGTGTCAGGGACTCTGGGTTAGTGCCCAAGATATCTGTGCTGGTGATGAGGGCGCCTGCATTGGCAGCCAGAGCTTCGGCAATCAGCACCTCGGGGTGGCTTTTTGCTTTGTGTGCCACTACGCTGTCCTTCTTCTCAAATTTTTTGCCACAGATATTGCAAGAGAACTGGTAGAAGGAATCTGCATCATGCTTCTTCATGTGCCAATTAAGGGATGCCTTTTGCCGACAAGTAAATCCACAGATCTCGCATCTAAGAGAGCGGAAGAGGAAATGGCTGATCAAACAGAGAAATGAAAAGGGCTCTTACTCAGGGTCAGGGCAAGAACTTAGAGGTCACATATACAAGCAATAGACACTAACATATACTTGTGAAAAATTAGGAAAAGTTAACTAGATGGAAAACTAATCTGTTTTTTTCTTTTGTTTAAAAACCAGAGGAAACAAGGAAAAGTTCACTAAGTAACTTGCATCCGCAATCAATCCTCTGATTTGGTAAAAGTAAACAGCAGTGGCAACTGAAATGTCTGTACAGGGGCTAACCCACGAGCAGGGCATGTATGCGCTTCTCCCCCAGATGTTCACCAGTAAATAAACACTCACTGTAACGGCTTCTCGCCAGTGTGAATCATCCGGTGCACTGCCAGATTGTGAGAGCTCTTGAAGGCCCTGGCACAATATTCACAGATATAATCCCTTTGATCTAAGAAGAAAAATAATGTGGTCAGTGTTCCATTTCGAATCCCTCTTAAGTATTTTTTCCCAGTTTACAGTAAGTAAGCAGATGATCAGTTAGTAAGAGCAATATTGTTTTCAATGTATAAAATACACTTTGGATAAACAAAATTTTAAAAAGATATATACCATTTTCTTTTTTCATGTTTGTTTTTGAGAGGAAGAGAGAGAGACAGAGAGACAGACAGACAGACAAGACTGTGAGCATGGGAGGGGCAGAGAGAGAGGGAGACACAGAATCCAAAGCAGGCTGCAGGCTGGACACGGGGCTCGAACTCACGGACCATGAGATCATGACCTGAGCAAGTCAGAGGCTTAACCGACTCAGCCACCCAGGCACCCAGGACTTGTTTTAGAAAACTAAACAAAGCAAAACAAAAACAACCTAATGGAAATAGGAGAATTGGAACCCTAATCTCAATCTTACCAATAATCCAGATCTTGGATAAATTGCTTAGTAAGTAAACAACTACATTTTCCCTGGATTTTATTCTTTAGAACAGTTTTTCCAGACTGTGGAAGCTGAATGCTTACATATGAAGAATTTGGCACTCAAACACCAAAATCAACAATAACAACAGAATTTGGCATCTCCTAGAAGAAAAGTGATCCACAATTAAAGTGGTAATCATGTCTTCTGTTTCAGGTTTAAAAAATGTTACCCAAGATAAACAATTTAAATTTCTCTCAAAAAGGTTCAAGTTGCTGTCATCATACATGTGCAAACAGTACCTGTATTCTTTACCTTATTCTCCTACCCCACATCTTCTGCACCATTCAACCCCCGCCTCTGTCATTTCACAATCCCCCCAAATTTCACAGGATTTTTGATGAACTTGGTAACATGGTGTAAAATCTATGGGTCAAAGGAGCACTGCACTTAATTATTTCTTTATCACTTGGTTTTGGAGAGAAGTGGACAAGGAGATGCTCTGTATCTCTTGAATAAATGACCACTATGTTTTCTGGGCCTTTCTCTTAAAATTGCTACACATAGTCACAGTGAAAACACGAGGATAAGTTAAAAGGCAAACAATATCCAATTTAATTCTATGCCCCATCCCAAACAGTTCTAAAGCCAAGTGTGGGAGAAGAGCCAGGTTTTTCTCAAGCTTGAATATATTTGGGAATCATCTAGGGATATTAGTAAATGCAGATGCTAGTTGAGCGGGTCTGAGATTCTGTAAGTAACTCGCTCAAGTGACATCGATTCCTGTTGGGCTATTTTCTACATGATGAATAGGCAAGGTCTAAAAATGCACTTTTAACCCAGAGACAACTCTTCAGTTTGTCTCCCAGGTCTTGCCTACCTTTCTAGTTTCATTGTAACATGCAAACCTGGGTGGGGCATCCACTTGCTCAAATAAATTACATTTTTAAACAATGTTTATTTTAAGAGAGAGAGAGAGAGAGAGAGAGAGAGAGAGAGAGAGAGAGATTGAGAAAATGTACGAGTCGGGGAGGGGCCGAGAGAGATGGTAAGAGAGTTCCAAGCAGGCTCCACACCATCAGCACAAGCCCCACATACAGCTCAATCCCACAAACCATAAGATCATGACCTGAGCCAAAATCAAGAGTCAAACACTTAACCGACTGAGACATCCAGGTGCCCCAAATAAATTACATTTTCAAAGGGAGTCTGTACATACAAATTTGGAAAAAGAAAAACTGCAATGACATCATAAAATTGTATTAACCAAATACAAATAATTGAAATGGAGTGAATTTCTAAAGGAGTCAGTTTGTCATAGTAGTTACTTGATACTTATAGCTAATACCCTAAACTGGTTGTCAGAAACTACTTTTGTAGAGAATAAAACTGTATTAACAGGGAGAAGGAGCAGAGATATGGCAGCATCTAGCAAGGAATAGAGTGGAGACAACATTCTCCCTGAAGCAGCATGGTATCATGGGAAGACTGCAGACTTTGCAGTGAGTCAGACCTGAGCTCAAACCCTGGGGCTCTGAGAAGTCTGTGTGCCAGGCCCTGTGCAGTAAACAGCACTATGGATGTGATCTTATTTCATCCTTATAATAATTCCATGATATCTGTGACATTATTATCACTATTTTTCAGATGAGGAAAGGCGAAAGTTAAGCAACTTGTCTAAGTCACACATACAGTAAAAGACTGAAAGGGTACATATATCAGTATAACCCTGGGTAGGAGACAACTAGAATTCCTAGTTGTACTAGTTGTACCCTCCACAACTACTGAAAAGATAGTAGGTAATAATCCAGTGCCTGGCACCTGCTCAATTAACTCTAATACCCAGCCTAATTTGTTCCTATTAACTGAATGGCTTTGAGATTGTCAGTGGCTAAAAATGAGTGAAATCTGAATCCATTCTGTATTATGTATTACGAAGGCATTTGGTTTCTCTTTTTAAAAGAAAAGCTCCTACAGGAGATTTCATGGGAACTTAATAGCTAGCCTTCACAATTTCAACAGCACCAGAATTGCCAGGAGCTAGTGAGTAGTTAGCATAAACCAGAGGCAAGCCTCTTTACCATCCAGGCTTTCTCTTCATACTCCTCATTTCTAGTCCATAAGAGCTACTACAAAGTATCTACCAGAAAGGGAGTTAGAAAATCTTGGTTCTGTTAAAAACTAGTGATGTCACCAAGGCCAAGTTAATGTGCAAAGCCTCTGGTTTCTCAGCTGTAAAACAAGCATAATATAAGCAAACTTGGTGATGTTGAATGATGATGATAACATGTAAAGTTTCTAGTCCACAGGTGATATAGAATATGTGCTCAATAAAAAAACTGTCCTGGTCATAAAAGTTCTTAAAAAAGTCAAAGGATAAAAGCGAAAAAGCCCTAGTTTGTTCATCTTTTATAAAATTTATGTTTTATTACAGTTTATTTTCATACCTTTCTCTCACACTTGACTGTAGACTTTTTAAGATTTACATTAGAAAAAAGTATCATTACCAATCTACATACTTAAAAGTAGAATGCACTTAACACTTGATAAAACATTTTATTTAAAAAAGTACCTGTATGATGTTTGGCATGTCGTAGAAGTTGCTTCTGGAGCCTGAAGAGTCGCCCACAGGAGGGATGAGGACATACATATTTCTTCTTCAGCAAATGCTGATACTTAATGTGGTGCTAAAACAGTAAGAGAATAGAAAGAGGGATAAAAATTAAGGCTTCTTGAAAGCTTGTTCCTTTGCTAAGTCAAAAGTGCTAAAGAAAAACCAAATACTCTGCATATGGATGGGGGGAGGGAGCAGTATAATAAAATAGTTAAGAACATAGGCTATGGAAACAGATCTGGATTCCAATCTGGGTCCATCATTCATGAGCAGTGTGACCTTAGGAAGTGTACTTAAATACTGTAAGCTACAGTTCTCACTGGCAAAATGGAGACAGTTACTGCCCTAACAATACCAATTGCATTATCATGAGAATATAGAGATCATGTATTATATAACGCTGAATGCAGTAAATGGCCTATAGCAAAAGAATAGTACCAAACATTACTATAACAGAACCAGAATCAGAAAGTGAGGGCTTAGTCTCTCTTGCATTATATTTGCTGCTAAACTAAAAATCAAACAGGCCATTTGTCCTTTTTTTACAATGTTTATTTATTTGAGAGACAGAGTGAGAGTGAGTGTGAGCACAAGTGAACAAGCAGGAGGGGGCAGAGAGAGCAGGAGAGAGAAATCTCAAGCAGGTCCCGTGCTGGCACTGTCAGCGCAGAGCCCGACATGGGACTGGATCCCACAAACCGTGATGACCTGAGCCGAAATCAAGAGATGAACACTCAACCGACTGAACTACCCAGGTGCCCCCAAAGAGGCATTTCTTAAGGTTTAGTAATAAACATTTCACTTTCATGTCCTCTGCTAGACCTAAATATAAGCTGAATCTTTAATTCATTTTTAAAACTCTACTAAAAAAAAAACAAAACCCTAAAAATTTATTTTAATTAATAGATTTTATTTTAAGAAATCACTGATTTGAGTTGCTAATTTTATTTTTAAAAATACACATTAAAATAAAGTCTGTTCATCTGTGTCTCTGGTATGTTGGTAAAATCATCTATCAGAAGTATTTACACCACAATAGGAAACACGGGACTATTTCAAGGAAATCCTTTTTTTGTGCTATGTTTTTAGACATTTTTCTTTTTTTTTTAATGTTTATTTATTTTTGAGAGAACAAGAGCATGCATGAGTGGGGGAGGGGCAGAGAGAGGGGGGACGGAGGACCCGAAGTGCACTCTGTGCTGACAGCAGAGGGCTCGATGGGGCCTGAGCCCACGAACCGGGAGATCACGACCTGAGCTAAAGCCAGACGTTTAACCAACTGAGTCACCCAGGCGCCCCTAGACACTTTTCTTGACATTGTACGTCAATGATAAAGCCTGCACAAGTTCACAAATTATAATATCTCATGAAATATGAGAACTAGTAATGGAACCTAACCTGAAAGGCTGCCTTATGTAACAACTTACTGACCTGCAAATAGCGAGGGTGAGCAAGAACGGTTCCACATCCTTCCATCTCACAACGGACATACTGGATTGGAGGCTTTTTTCTATGATCAGTATGTAGGAGATATGTTAGCAAACAGAAAAGAGGCACTCTGCACAGTGACTTAATTCAGTGCACTATAGGGGACAGCAATTTTACAGCACAAAGAATTAAAATCTCTTTACTAGTATACAGCTTGCACAGAATTTATGTTAGAAACAACCAGAAACGGCCAAATGTTTTGTAAAGAGTTTAAAAAAAATTGGACAAAATAAATTAGAACTCCCCAAAAGGTAAAGAAGCATTAAGATTTTTTAAGACCCTGCAATGGAAATAAAAACACAGTAACTTTGCATCAAGGACATTAATAAAGTTGCATTTGAGAAATTTTTAAATAGCCATTCCTGCAAGGTAATTGTGAGTAATTATGTGAGTAAAGTGCTTACCATCAGGAATAAGGAACACAGTAAGGGTATAAATTACTTACCTCCGTTTGGGTAATCGTGGACTTTTGTCATCTTTTCGCCTTCTTCCTCTCCTGTAATTAAACAACAGAGTAACTACCCACATATTCCAGATTGAAGCTTGGAGTGAAGGATGGCTGAAGACATGTACTCAAGACCACAGAGAAGGTGGCAGAAACAAAGGATACCCCATAACAGACAGAACCAAAGACATATCTGACAAGCCAAACAAATAGGTTATTCTAAAATAATTTCACTTAAATAAATCTGCACAAGTTAAATACATACTTTTCATTAACTATACATTACCATGGAAGATTTGGATAAACCTCAAGGTTACTACTTGAAGAGTTGTTTCAGTAAAAAGTCTATCACCTAAATTTAATCAATTTAAAAAGTAGAATCGAAAGAGTCCATTATCTAAAACCCTGAGAATATAAACTCTACTCTCCTTATACAGAACCAAAAGCCTAAACACTTAAAAAAACAAAATCTTATTTCTGCAACAGGCAATGATGGCTGGACAGGAAGTCAAGATTCTTAAATCACTTGCCTTACTTAATTTGCCCTTCTTTTGAGGCTCCACATTTGCCATACTTGTTTTGCTCTTACCCTGCCTCCCAATAGCTCCCGTCTTACCCACTCATTTAGATCTCTTTAAGTACTGATTTGAATTAAATTTAAACTTTTCAAGCTTTTGAGTCTCTCGAATGAAACTGTCAGCTGCTTGAGGCAGCAATATGTACCTGTCAATAACCCTCCTCACACTCCCACCCTTTTTTTCCCACTAGTGGCTTCAAAATCTGTTAGGTTTCCATTTTTAGTAGTAATTGCCTACTCACTTCCTAGGAGGTTCCTCATCCTCTCTAATTTCATTCTCTTCTTCTTTCACCTCTACCTCCACTTCCACTTTAATTTCTTTCTTCTCTTTTTCTTCTTTTACCTTCCCCGATTTTCTCCGTGGTTTTGGGGTTTCCCTGAAAACACAAATGCATTTCAACACTGGTATCCAGCAAATGATCTTTTCAAGGGGACCTGTGACAACGGGGTAAAATCTGTGATTATCATTGGTTTACTATAAAATTATGATCCTCAGCTCATGAAATATGATTTACAGTCAATTGTTCCTCACATGCATGGTAATGATACATACTTAAAGTCGCTTAGGCTAACAATACCCTAGAATCAAAATTCACTATAGTTATACACAGAAAGACAAAAGTAAAAAATTTTAAGTATTCAGACAATTATTGTATCTTGTTAAGATAAACATGCAGACATCCAATAATTTGGATATGATCAATATAAAGTTCTATATAAACAGAAGAGAGGGCTGTGTGAAGGAGTTAGAAGATCATGTTCAATTTGCAAAACAAGTACATAATTGCTCATTTAAAATGAAGTCCATACCCATTAGTTTAGTAACAAGGCAAAATAAAAGCACACAATAGTGCTTTCCTAACTTATTTTTCATCGACATGTCTGGAGTAAAATCTGAGACGTGCCTTTCTAAGTGGGGTTTGTAGGTCTCGTCTCTTGGGTCGTCTTTGAATGGTATTTCCTCTTCACTGATTAGCATCTCTTCTTCTTCCTCCTCTTCCTCATCACTACTAAAAAGAAGCAAAAAGAGATTAGAAATTCTAGTTGTAAGGATTATATCTGACTGGATTTTATTTGCTAATTTATTTAGAGGTACCAGAAAGTCACAGTAAGTTATTTAGAATTTTCATCCTTACACTCTAACTGGATGCAATCTAGCTACTTTATCCTCACAATAATAATTAGAACTAAAAATACATTACTTCATTAAATCAAGGTAAAGTGATGACTGCTCAACAGCACTAAGAGTTAAAGAACAACTGACTTTATCATACTGTGTGTAGTCATCTGACGATCTGCTCTATCAAAGGAGATCAACCAAAAAAAAAAATAATTCACATGACTTTATCATGGAATATAAATTTCAAAAACCCTAGTTAGTCAAAACATCTACATTTCCCATTAGTGGCTAGCACAAAATAAGCCAGAATACAGAAGGTACTCAAGACATGCTTTCCAAACTGGATAAGTAAAGATTACATGGTTAAAGCTTTAATTAAGAACAAAGTGGCATCTAAATACCAAAACTGAAGTTAATTTTTTGTAACAGTTCCACATTCTTTCAAGTAGAAAACAACTTCTGTATGTGCTATATGTCCCCAAGGGTTTAAATATGACATATGAAATTTCTTACCTAATGCCACCTGGAGACTGGTGTTCTTCTGCACCATCTGGAGAAAGCAAGCAAAACAGAACTTTATGGATATTGATATTTTGTCTCTGCAGCCAAGAGACTCAAACCAAATTACTGCCTGGAAGAACTATACAAAAGAAGAGTATCTGCAAATTGTCTAAAAGGAGCCCTATGTCATCAGACCTACCCTTGACAGTTGTTCAACATTACATTTAAAATCAATAGGCAACTGGTTATTAGATCAGCACACTCTACTTGTACTGTACCATAGTCAAGTTGATCTGTATTTGGTTCTGACTTGCAGATGAGCTGCAATGAACCAGTCTTCGACCTAGAGCTTCGGGTGTTCTCTGTGTCATGATGCCGAGAAACTGATGTCCTGCTACTACTGCGCCAGCCCCGGCTAGGCCTAGTTGCAGCAACGGAAACTTCTTGAGGGAGAGCAGAATCTCCTTCTTCCTCTTTCTCTTCCTTAGGATCTAGATGAGAATATATACCATTACTTATGGTTAACTAATAACCATCTCAGTATATCTACTATTGTAAATACAGTTAATAAAAAAGAAAGTAAATTTTTTTTTCAGGAGAAAAGCCCCTCAGATTTTTGCTGAAATAAGAGAAACATGAGAGGAAAATTAGATGAAACTTCTCCTTATTGTCATCACTCTAAAAAGAAAAAAAAATTCATGTCATAAAGTAGTAGTCTTATATCATATCTAGAAAAAAATGGAACACTAAGACAAGTATGCAAAATATACCAAAGTAATTCAACTAGAATTCTAGCCTTTACATCCAAGATAAAAGAAACTAAATTAAGTGAGTGGTCCCAGAAAGATGGCTGGAACTTCTTACAGAAGCACAAGAAAGAATCACAGGTCTAGATGTGTTAACAACCAAACAACGCTGGAAGAAATTGCTGAAGAGAAATTCCATAAGAAAAATGCCGTCCCTTGACTCTTTTCAATAACTTAGAACCAAACCATGAATTTCAATTAATCTATAGCATCAATGGGGCACCTGGGTGGCTCAGTCGGTTAAGTGTCTGACTCTTGATTTCAGCTCAGGTCATGATCTCATAGTTCATGAGTTCGAGCCCTCCATTGGGATCTGCATTGACAGTGCAGAGCCTGCTTGGGATTCTCTGTCTCCCTCTCTCTCTGCCCCTGTCCTCCATGTGCACTCGCTCTCTCTCACAAAAATAAACAAATACTAAAAAAAAAAAATCTACAGGGCCTATCATGACAAAGTCCAGCTCCAGTGTTGCTCTGCTTCAGTTTTCCTGAGATGCTGTGTACAGATATACACACAATGTTACTGTTACCCTAGATTTTCTTCATGCTTTAAAGGTGAATGAGGTGATGTAAGACCATTCCCTCCTGAGCAATAAAAAAAAACAAATAAAAAGCTTAGTATTAGAAACTGGCTTTCGGGGCGCCTGGGTGGCGCAGTCGGTTAAGCGGCCGACTTCAGCAGGTCTGATCGCAGTCCGTGGTTCGAGCCCAGCGTGAGACTCTGGGCTGATGGCTCAGACTGGAGCCTGTTTCGGTCTGTCTCTCCCTCTCTGCCCCTCCCCGCTTCATGCTCTGTCTCTCTCTGTCCCAAAAATAAATAAAAAACGTTGAAAAAAAATTAAAAAAAAAAAAAAAAAAAGAAACTGGCTTTCATCCCTAGAGTAGCTTATTACTATGTTAGCATATTAAAAGTGAGCACATTTTGACTATGCTTTATAATAGAAAAGGCCTTTCTAAGAACAACACAAAATTTTAGTAACAGTTGTACCTAGGACTATGTAAACATAAAAATTTTCTGCATGGCAAATTCCACTAAAAGCAAAGTCTAACAGCCCAACAGAAAAAAGCCAACAAAAACATGTGGCTTTCACACAAACAGGTCAATCCTCTCAGGAGAAACTCAAATGAAAACAATTAGTGTGGTACCATTGTTCCCGTCATACTGGCAACGATCCAAATGTTTGACAACAGAGTATTGGCAAGGCTGCAGGAGACAGTAACACAGATGACAGCATGTGCACTGGCAAATCTCTATGAAGGACACTTTGGCAGGATCTACTGAAATTATAAATGCACATCCTTTCACATTAACTTCAACTAGGAATTTATCCTACAGAATTGCAATCACATTTATGAAATGACTTGTGTATAGTCATCAAAGCACTGTTTTTAGTAGTAAAAGAGTAGCAAACAGCAGGAGGGGCTTGGTTATATGAATTATGATACATCTAGTCATTAGGCAACTGCATGGAAATACTTCCATGACACTTCATTATGCAAAAAAACCCCATATCCATGTAATATCCAAGTATTATACAGGTATACATTTGTTTTTATATAGAAATAAATATACATGCAAGATATGTATCTTATATATGATAATAACACTTCTGGAAGGACATACAAGAAATTGATAAATACTGGTCACTTCCAGAGAAGGTACAAAATTATGTCCAGTAATTCTAAGTATCTACCTGGGAAAATAAACTGGCAGCGGACATTCACTGTAGCATATTTGTAACAGCTAAAGAATGGAAACGACCCATCCCTTCAAGATGATGACCCATACTGAGTAAGAGAATATTCAAATAAACTATGGTTTATTACTAAGATGGGATATTATATAGAGGTATCTGTAAAGAATGACATGGAATTATTGGTAAAAATACTGTTAAATAGAAATTAAGCAAAATGTAAGACACAAAACTATATCTAACATGTTTTTTAAGATATGAAAAATATAGTTTCCTCTACTGTGGAACAAGGTGGTGACTGGAGGCTATTTCAGCTTTAACATACTCTGAAAATTTTATGAGAATATATTAAGGAAATGGAGTAAAATTAGTTTGAATTGTAGAGAATAGCAGTGGGAACTCCTAAAAACCTGACATAATTTTTATATCAGAAATGCATTTCCTTTCAGTTTTCTTTCCCACTCATTATTGCCTTTCTCACTCTTCTCATATCTGAACTATTTTAAGTATCAAAATATGAAATAATAATAAAAAAGGGTTACATTTTAAAATATCTTCAACTATCTACAATCCAATGGGTTTTATCCATAAGTAACTGGAAGGTCAAAGACAACTTGTTTAAAATCACAAAGCTAGATAAGCAGACCCAGATATAAAAATCATGTCTTGAGACTTCTCCATCTAGGTCATGAGTGCTTTTAAGATAAGATACAGGGGTGCCTGGGTGGCGCAGTCGGTTAAGCGTCCGACTTCAGCCAGGTCACGATCTCGCGGTCCGTGAGTTCGAGCCCCGCGTCAGG